TAAACAGATTCCCTGGTGGTTTGCCCCTTAATTGTGTTCCTTCCTATAGGAGAAACAATTAGGGTAGAATTAGAAGTGATAATTTTAGCCAAGCATACAGCTAAAACTTTGAATCAGACCTGGCAAGCCCTTACTTTAATGATGGATGAAACCACGCAGATGCGTGGTACTGCAGAATAGAGTGGCACTAGATTTGTTAACTGCTGCACGGGGGTGGGGGGTGGGGGCGGTAGGGACTTGTGCTGTCCTACGTGTAGAATGCTGTACATATATACCTAACAATCAAGAGAATGTAACCAGTGCCCTGGAAGAGATAGACAAGGAAGTACAGGCTACACAAGCCCTGTCCCATGACCCCCTCCAAGCTTGGTGGGATGGACTGTCAGAAGCATGGCACTGGGCATTTGTGAGTATTGCTATTGGAGCCGGAGTACTGCTTATATCATGCTGTAGTTTGTATTGCTGTTGTGGGCTCTGTGCCCAAGGTGCTAGCATATGGACTAGCACCCCCATAGTAACCATAGAAACCATCCAGTGTAAGGGGCGGAGTGTGGGGCCCTGTCTAAGTATACACCAGATGATTCAAGGCCGCTCTAAGCATGAGCTAATCAGGGGCACTCAAGGTTAGATACTTTATGCTGGTGCAAGGTTGCCGCAAGTCTTACACTGCACAGACACACCTTTCTGTAGTTATTGTTTGGCAAAGTGCCTTCTTTGTTTGAGCTTGTTTGAGCATATATATAAGCTGTCACTGACCAGCTTGCTATGGCTGCTTTTGTGTGGAATAAAGCATGTCCCATTTGCCTGCCTGTACATGCCTGTTTTTCCAATTTCCCTCACCGAGGAGGGTCAAGTCCCTGGCTGAAGAGCTAGCACCCGACATGCCCCCAGTTCCACTATTATAACTCTACCATCTTAACATAGTTGTTAGGAGAGGTCTTGAGCAATGGAGAAAGCTCTGTGCTAGGAATCAGGACACCTGGGCCAGACTGACCTCTGGCTTGACAAGCCATGTATCTAATATGAGCTGTATTCCTCTTCTTTAAAAGGGATATAGTAACCCTTGATTCCAGGGATTGTGTGTATGAAATGAGACTATGTGTATAAGAGAGCTTTTAAATTATAAAGTCTAGAGCAGGCAGTGAAAAGGGAAGGCTGACTGTGTCATTTTATCATTATATTATTGTTATTATTACTGTGTTACAATCACTATTTTTTCCCATAGAGCAGCAGTATTAGACTTGGGCTTGAACCACTGCCAGGAACATTGTGATATTTGAACACCTAAGGCCTGCTCAAGTTGAATCATCTGTTTGGATACTAGTTTTTATCCTATCAGAAGGTGTATACATGACTAATTAAAACCAGTGAGATAAGAATAAACCCTTGGCTGACACATATTTGCTAAAACATATGTGAGACCAGGCTGCTTGATGCAGACTTGTAATTCAGTTGTTTCTAATCCCCAGTCAAGTACAATGGGCATTTCAACTTTCTCTTGGGGTGTTTTTAGCACCCTGATCAATGGGTTGCCCCAAGGATCCCTAATCAGCATTTATAGAGAAACTGTCCCCAAAGATGCATTTAATATGATCATTAAAGCAGAGGTCTTGCTTAGAGAGCATTCCTTTTCCAGGGCCAGGACCTTGTGATGGCCCATGTACTTAATTAACCAATGGGTAACTTGTGGGAAAGGAACTAGCTATACAGGCTCCAGAAAATCAACCAAATAATAAAAAGAATACAGCCTCCATAGAGCTTGTTTTTCCCTGGTATTGGGATGTATAGGTAGGAGCTAAAGCCAAAACACTTCAGAAATAATCAAATAGAAAGTGGTAGTGGAGAACTGGGATCCAATTAACATGTCAATATAAATAAGAAATGGAGCTCCTTTCTTCACCCCACTCACTGCCCCTAAATGGATTAGGGGGTATCTTTGGGGGACGGTGGAAAGGTAGTTTGCAGAAATCATGCCCCGGTGGGAAGGTCACCTTGGCTCAGAATTGTTCTGTAAGGTTCCAAGAGAGCAAAATCAGCCCTGTTCCCTGCTGGAGGTAGAGAGTTATAGCACTTCAAAGAAAGGGTTGAGGTCCAGGAGATCCACAAGGAAGTTGATTGCCCTGCCCTATGCTGCAATGCAGGACCATTGCTCTTTAAACATGCATAAGACCTTCTAGCTGACCCAGGGAGCACAGTGTGTCTAGACTCTAGAGGGACCTGAAAGAAGGCAGAGGAAACCTTATAGGTTATACAAGGTAAGAGATACAGGGAGAGAAAAAGCAAAAACAAAACAAAACAAAACAAAACAAAACAAAACAAAACAAAAAACAAAGAAAGCAAAGTCCTTTCCATCCCGCAGGTGACATGATGTGCTATCTTTCAATGGAAGACTTCCTCATCAACACTTAACTATGGGTCAGCTGCTTGTCCTGGTAGTGGGGATTAACTATCTAATCAATATCCTAAGTCTCTTTCCTATTTTTGTGTGCTCCTTAGTGATGTTTTGAGAGTTATTTAGACAGTAAAGAAAAATAACCAGTGCCCTCCAACACCCCTGCCTATCCCTATGCCATACCAAGAGCAGTGTGTGCTCTACTCTTCCTTCCTAGTCTCTACTATCAGCTATGGAATCCATATTTTGCTCTAGGGGTGGGTATGTGGGGCAGGCTGCCTCTCCCAAATATGAACTGCTTTGCATAAGTTACTATTCATATCTGGACCTCAGTTTCCTGTTCTTTAAAATAGGCAAAATGTATGAATAAACTTTTTTAAAAATATATTTTATTGATTTTTTACAGAGAGGAAGGGAGAGGGATAGAGAGTGAGAAACATCAATGAAAGAGAAACATCGATCAGCTGCCTCCTGCACACCCCCTACTGGGGATGTGCCCGCAACCAAGGTACATGCCCTTGACTGGAATTGAACCTAGGACCTTTCAGTCCGCAGGCCAACGCTCTATCCACTGAGTCAAACCGGTCAGGGCTGAATAAAGTTTTATAGACTGTAAAGCACTGAAGTATTATAATTGACAGATCTGCTTAAATAACAGCTGGGAGAGACTTTTAGAGAACGGATAATTTCCCCCTATGTACTTACAAATAAAGTTAAAGTCTCAAGTCTTCCTCAAACCAAGATCGGAGATTCTTAAATTGAATTGGAGTGTAGCAGGGTAGGAGTCAAGTTGGATGAATGCTCCTACTGGCTCCAGCCTTTATCTTTTCTTTTCACACCCCAGGGGCAAAGAAGAGAGGTAGACAAGTAGAAAGAGTATTATCTAACCTTGCAGCCCTTCTTTTTGACCTCTTGTGAGTCAGCGCTGAACAGAAAGTCTCCTAGCTTCCCACGGGGGTCAGATCTTGCAGAGAATGTACATCCAGGTTGACTGCAAGATGTGTGGGAGAGCTGGTGGGAAAGGGTAAGGATAGTCTTGGTATGATGGGAAAAGACATTACTTTATTCCAGTGGTTCTCAACCTTCCTAATGCCGAGACCCTTTAATACAGTTCCTCATGTTGTGGTGACCCCCAACCATAAAATTATTTTCGTTGCTACTTCATAACTGTAATTTTGCTACTGTTATGAATCGTAATGTAAATAGCTGATATGCAGGATGTATTTTCATTGTTTGAAACCCACAGGTTGAGAACCACTGCTTCACATTTAGGCATAACAACCTTATTTGTCTCCACCATCCTTCTTTCCAAAGAGAGTTGTTTTCTGGAACAGATATGCCAGAAAACCAAAATACTCCTACTCCAAAACACTGTCTTCCAGAAAATGAAGATTTCAAGGTATTGGAGATCCCCCTAGCTTTGCTATTTACCCCTACATCACTAAGTAGTTAAGGCCAGTCATTTTTCATCTTTCACCTGTAAACTGGGAATTGTAACCCTTGCCTTGCCCACCTTATTGTCAGTGTAAAGATCTAATAAGATGATGGCTGTGAAGGTACATTGAAAACTGTAAAGTGCAGCATCCATATACATGTAGGAAATTGCAGTCTTCCCATCCCAGGATAACAATCCCCTCTCTCCAGTGATGTTTTCTTACAAATTAAGTCACATCCAGCATTCTGGACTATATAGGCTGCTTCCAAACAACGGAGATGGTTGCTTCATTCAATTGAACACATTTTCCTTCCAAATATGATCCACTGTGAGGGAGTGGGCATCAGTCCAATAACCCATTACGGACATATGGTTGACTTAAAAAAACAATCCATGGTGCCTACATCTGAGCCCTGAAGTTCTCTATGAAATAAGTCATGGGAAAAGAGTTCCATTATTTTATTCTTAGAAGCATGTAAAACCGGTGATGAGGGATTTGAAATTGATTGTTTTTCTCTAAACCAAGAAAACATTAATGGTCTTTTTAAAAAATTCCTCACTTGAGGATATTTTTTGCATTGCTTTCTAGAGAAAATAGAAGGGAGAGGGGGAGGGGGAGAGAGAGAAATATCTATGTGAGAGACACATCCATTGGTTGCCTCCCACACATGCCCCAAGTGGAGCCGGGGATTGAACCTGAAACCCAGGTATGTGCCCTTAACTGGGAATTGAACCTATGACCATTTGGTGTGCAGGCTGACACTCCAACCACTTGACCACATCAGCCAGGGCACCCTACGATCAGGCTTCATTGAGAGGCTTAGGTTCTCAGTGTCCCCCCTAGATCTCAGGAACTTCACTGTAACCCCCCAAATTAAAGCTCTGAGCTCTGAATTTGGCCCAGGGAATCAAGAAACTCAACCTTAACCTTTAAAAGACCAGTCACCAGGAAGGAACAAAAGAGGCAAGAGTTGAAGATAAGTAAAAATAAAAGGAACTACTATTTTAAAGATCAAAAGGACACTTAGTTGAGTTAACTCCCCACTAAAGAAGAGTAGATACCTATATATGGGATGGAAGACTCTGGCAAATGGGCTAACTCCAAAGCTGTCACAGTAACAGAAATCTAGAAGATGAATGGGGAATCAAAATGCCAGGCCTCTCCCAAGATACATGTAGGTGTGTGTGTGTGTGTGTGTGTGTGTGTTAAGGAGAGGGTCAGTGCAGAGGATCTAAAAGGGGAAGGATTTGATTTTTGTCCATAAAGTGCTAGGTAGATGTATCAATAGAGTACTGAGAGGCCATTCCTTCAGGTCCACCTGATCAAAGATGTACTCAGTAAAACTCTACAAAATTAATTCTCAGCACCTTCCCTCTTCTCTATAATCAAGCTGAGCTAGGAACATGTTTTGTAGACCCATGGCTATGGAATCCAGCTCTCCAGTCTAGCTAGAATAGTTAAGCAAGAAATGCTGTAGATCAGTCTTGGGAAAATGGTGAAGAATCAATTCTCTGGTAGGAGGGGATAAGATATACCCCATCTGTAGAGTACTAGCTGTTGAGGACACCACATTCCAGGCCCTGCTGCTGTGGTATAGAAATAAGGCAGGAGAGTCCAGGGAGAATGACTGGGCAAGGCTGCCAGGAGCCCAAGAGACCTAGGGAAGGAGCAGAGCAAGTTAGAAAACTGTGGGTGCAATCTTGCTAGCTTCCTCCCCAAATAAAAACTATCTAGCATGCTTTAGGCCAATAGTTTAGGCTTCAATAACAGAAATACATCACCTAGCTGGGAGATGATAGTCTATTCTACACTGGTGAGACCATTCCTTTTGAAACTGGGTTCAGCTCTAAGTTGCACATACTTTAGAGGAACCCAAAGTGGTACTTTCCAGAGAGGAGATGCTATCTCCAGACTTTATCAGGGCTATCACAAGGCAGAAAAAGCAAATGAGTTCTGTGCAGTCCAAGGAACAGAACCAGGACCCAATGGTGGTTACTACAGGAGACAGAAAGTTTTTCTTCCTGTTGAGTTCAAATCCACCAATCATAGTTGCAATACACATTGAGCAGTAAGTGCTACTCTTACTGACACTGAAAATATGTGAGTAAGGATGACAAAGAAACTTGGTGGAATATTATAAAAGGGACTCATGCATGGATTGGAGGACTTGAAGGATAGGTTGGACTTGACTGTTTTGATAGTAGTTTTGGCATTCATCCACATATCGTTCACATTTTCTCAGGTAGGATGTAGGGAGGAGCATGTAATTGAAGGACCTGGACAATATCTTAGGTGGAGAAATGTAGAATGGGTAGTGAAAGGTAGCTAGTTAGTTGAAAAGTAGGAATATACCCACCATCCTGCCTCACACTGCCTCATTCTCCTTAAGCCTTTGAGAAAGCAACATTGTCTATGGAATAGTTGCATTGATAGAGTTGGAAAAGCTCTGTATTGTAGCCCCAAAACAGGGCTTGAGCTTAGTTCTGCAACAGATTTGCTCTATGACTGATTTTGAGCAAATCACTTTCCCTTTCTGTGTCTCAGTCCCTGCTTCTATAAAATAAGGCTAACAAACCCCAACCTGCTTACAATAAAGGGATGTTTTAAATATGAGTTTAGTGGATATGAATGACTGTGTAGATTGTGGCTGGGAGTGGGGAAAGGAAAGAAAAACTAACATAGTTTAAACATCTCTAATGCATCAAATACTATAAAAGGCACTTGCACATGCATTTCTCATTCAACACTCACAGAAGATATGAGGTGACTGATCTAAATTTTACAGATTAAGGACCTGCAGCTCAGAAAGGTAAAGAGATTTATACAGGTTCACATAGCTATTAATGGATGTAGGTAGATTTGAAATATAGGGCTCCCAGATGTCAGGCCTGTATATTTTTTCTACTGTGTCATGGTTCTTGTTTACATGGAGGGAGATCACTGAATCACTATTAGATAGTGGGACCTAAGAATCCTTGCAACAGGCCAGAATAAAGAGACAGGTGTCACATCAACCTAGTCAGTTCCTTGAAGGCCCAGAAATGTGATATCTGATTTGCTCAAATGATTAGTATTATCACTGTTGCTCTAACATCCATCCGTGATCCTAGCTTGCTGTTCCTCTACTGCTAGCCCTACTGAACAAGAGGATAATTCTTCTGGGGTGGTCCCAAACTTCTGGTCTTTCTTCCCCATATTTCCAGCTCACCTCAGTAGAGAGTTAAGGGCTGGGAACTTCAAGAGGCACATTGAGTTCCAGCCTCTCTCCAGAGCTTTCAGCTGTGTCCCCCTGCCAAGGTCTCAGCTCCAGTATAGGAGGCAGAGCTGGAAAACTTTTGCAGGTCCAGCTCTGTGCATTCGATGGGAGTGTGGACCCAGTGGGAGTGTCTTTCTGAGGCGCAGGAGGCCATGGTAAAAGATTCCTGGGTGGGGAAGCCACGAGTTGAGCTGCGGTCATCATCCAGGATGGGGTTAAATGGCTGGGTCTCAAAGATGCTTTCACTCAGTGGGGACTCAGGATTGGTCTCTTGGCCAGGTGGCATAGGGAAGAGAGATTCCTCCTCCGCTGCCTTGTCAGCCTCAAACTGCAGCGAACCTCCTGTAACTCGAAGCAGAAAGCCACTGGGTCACCCAAAGGCAGGAGCTCCTTTCAGAAGGCACCTGGTCCTGAATACAAGATAAAAAGGGTCTGGGAGCTAGCACTCTCCTTCCTTTTCCTGGGGACCAGATCACCTAACACCAGTCTGAGGTGACATTTGAGAAACATACTTAAATTGGGGTATCATATTGAGGCTACCTGATAGTGAAGCAGGGTATAGTATAATACTATAGTGAGTGAAATAAGTCAGTCAGAAAAAGACAAATATCACAGGATCTCACTTATTTGTGGAATCTAATGAACAAAATAAACAGATCAACAAAATAGGTCCAGAGGCATGGAGGCATGGAACGACTGACATATCTCAGAGGGAAGAGGGGGGGTCAAGAAGAGATAAACTAAATAATTCATATACATTGCCCATGGACACAGATAATAGTGTGGTGAAGGGATAAAGGAGTAGGGGCTTGGTGGAGGGGGAAAGAATGGGAGAAGAGGGATGTCTGCAATTCTGTCAACAATAAAAAATATATATTTGATAAAAGACTCATTTATCCAGAGAAAGAGAAAACCTTTGTGGGAAGCAGGGTTTTGACACCCAACACCATGATCTTCACCCTCTGGTGTTATGCCTGTGTGTATGTTATATGGCAAAGGCACTTAAGATAGCATTAAGAACATGGGCCTTAAAATAGAGACATTACCCTGGATTACCCAAGTGGACCAAAAGTAATTACATGTGTCCTTAAAAGTAGAAGAGGGGGCCAGAAGAAACAGAGAGAATATCAGAAAGATGAGTCATCCAAAGAACTCAACTCGTCATTGCTAGTTTTGAAAATGGAACAGGGTCATAAGCCAGAGAATGTGGGTGACCTCTAGAAACTTGGAATGACTCTCAGCTGACAGTCAACATATAAATGGGACCTCAGCCTTATAAATGCAAGGAACGGAATTCTTCCATCTTCCTGAATGATCAAGGAAACGCAGTCTCCTCTGGAGCTTCCAGAAAGGAACACAGCCCTCCCTACACCTTTATTTCAGTCTTGTGAGATTCTAAGCAGAGATTCAACTGAGCCTGCAAAACTTCTGATCTATGGAAATAGAGAGATAATAAATGGGTATCATTTTAAGCCATCAAATTTGTGGTAATTTGTTATGTCAATGATGGAAAAGTAATATATCCTTCATACCTAAGTCTGATTTGACATCAGATTACAAACTGTGAGCCTATGTGTATTTTCTTGACCTTCACATTGTGGTTGTGATTTTTACTTTTTATTAGAACTCATTGTCAGAGATTAAAACTATTTCATTTTAAAAATCCAGATATTTTGCTCTTTTGAAAAATCCAGGAGATCTTGAAATATTGAATATCCCCATATGGTAACAAATAACTGGATCTGAGTAGTAAATTCCCCTTTAGACAGGAGATGAATTCTTCAGTTTGCCACAGTCACTACTACTCTCTACTGCACCTTATATTGGATCTAATTCACATGTTAATCTCACCTATACAACCACAGTATGCTTGTAAGTCAGTGACTCCTGATAAGCACCCATCCCAATGGAAAAATTGTCTAATCCTCTTTTCCATATGGAGACCCTAAGGGAGCTGCCTGCCCTCAGTTCTTCACAGAAGGGTACTACATTATGTTGAGGACAGAGAAAAAGCATAAAAAGTTACCTATTTCTTTTCTCAGAGTCAAGAAAAGGGAGACAGGCAGATCTCAGATGGTGCCTCATCTTCCTGGGCTCTGTGGCCCAAATGCTTCATTGTCTATGTTTTGTGCCCAAGGACTGGGCAACAGCTCCTATTTTAGAAACTAACCTCTAAAGTCAAATACAGGATGATCTACCCTGAATCACAATTTCCAATGAGTAGAAGAGAGAGAAATAGAGTTTAATAAGGGTTATAAATCAACAACAGTGTTCCTCTTGTGTCCCTGAAGCCCATAAATGCTAGATTAATCTCAATTTAAGCCAGGGGTACAGCAAAACACATCTGTTAGGCTTTAGGCTTTTTGAAGATCATATGACAGGCTCTAGAGTCAAACTGACCAAGGTAGGTCTATATAAGAGGGATCTTCTCATACAAATAAAGAGAGGTAAAAGTTGTATTGCTTTGGGCCCTGCATCCAATTGACTAAAGAGGAGTCTTAAGGACCCCAATATCCTGTAAATCTTACTAAATCAACAGCAGTTTGTAGATAGCATTAAGAACATTCAGTAGCCTGTGTTCCTGTTTTAGTATCTCTCCATAGCTTTCAGTTCCCTTGATGACACATAAACTGTACTTAGCCTCAGTACCCTTGGCTGGAGTTTTAATACCCTGCCTGGTCCTGGCCAGCCATCATCCTACATCCCCTATCTTTGCCCTCAGTGATCTGGACATTCTTTCTCCATTTTTTTGGCTAATGGTTGAAGTTGTAATGAAAAAAGATCACAATGTTACCACTGATTTAAATATGACCTTCCATTTACAATTTCACATGGCTATCTCCTATGGGCTGCCAGATCTTTTTGGATATCATTATTGTCTGGGTCAAAAACGTCTAGATTTGCCAACTCCTCTGTACTCTGAGCTCTCAGCTACCAACATTTGGGTTATAACTATACTAATAATAGTTATCTGAGACTTCACCCACTCTTATTACAGTCATATCTCAAATCCAGCCAGCTTCCCTTCGTTCCTGACATGTTCCCGAGTCTATACCTATTAGTAGAAATGAAAAATTGTAAAATAACTTAAAAAACCAAGTAATCTAATTCTACCTGTCATTTTAAAGATTAGGGAGAAAGAGGCCTAAAGAAGTTAGATGACTTGCCTATAGTTATACAGTGATTCAGACGTAGACTTAGAATCTAGGTCTGCAGAATTGATTTTAATGGTTTTCCCATGCTGTTTTGTTCCTTTATGAAACTCTGTATCTTAATGAAGCAGGTCCTGTGAATGCTCAGGGTTGGTCTCAGTCATCTCTGAAGTCCCGTGCTTTCTACTGCCAGCCCCCGATACTCTACCTCTGGGGTTTTCCAGCACAGTATGTAAGGTCTACTAGCTCCCAGTCCCAGTTCCTGGTGATCATAACCTTGATTCATGTAATACTTGAAGCAGCTACACTTACCATTCTGGTGATGTCTGTTGAAGAACTGCTTGCAGTAGAGGAAGAAGAGCCCCAGGAATGCCAGAGTAAACACCATGAGCACACTGCTCACCAGTACAAGTGTGGCCTCCCGAGGGGGCACTGTGGGTACATCTGCCTTCACTAAGCTCAACCGGAAGGCACCTGTGAGACAAGAAATTGGGGGAAGTCAATCAGTGTAGGCAGTCAACAGTCACCCTAACACTGGGCCTGGACTTCCTCAGGCCATCCATCTCTCCCTAAGGCCTTTCCCTTTTAAGGCTGATAAGCTGGTTTTACTCTTTTGTGGATCAGGCAAAAATGTAAAGAATAAAGCAGAGATATTAGCATATACTACTAATATGGTATAAATTAGTACAAATATTTGAAGATGTACATAACCTACGGTCTTTCTATGTCACCTCTAGTTATATAACCTAGGAAAATGGAAACAAAGTGTTCATCCATGGGCACAGGATAAATAAATCATGATATAATCCTATGATATAATATTATATAGTATTTAAAATAACATACATGTATGGATTCATATAAATAATCCAGAGGAGAAAACAAATCAGAGAAAGAAAGTGTGTAACTTGATGTCATTTATATAAAACATTATAAAATATAAATAACAGCATATATTGTTGATAAATATGTATATACTAGAGGCCTGGTGCACAAAATTTGTGCACTGGGGGGGGGTCCCTCAGCCTGGCCTGTGCCCTCTCGAAGTCCTAGAGCCCCGTGATCAATCACCCCAAGGAGGGAAGCCCTGCCCACCCACCTCAGTGCCATAGGCTGGGTAGCCTGGGCTTCCCTCTGCAGGGCGACTATGGAGCGATGGTAGGAACCCCAACCAATCGCATCGCACCTGCCTTGGCTGGCCTGGCGCCAGTGCATATCATAGCTGGTCGTCCAGACAGTTGCTCTGCTGTTTGACTGTTCAATCGATTTGCATATTACACTTTTATTATTATAGATGTTACAAAAGAATATAAGTATTAAAACATGGGTAGAGAAATTGGAGCATCATAGTGCTCACCAATTATTCACATGCTTCCCTGGATTTCCCATTCACTCTTATACTAAGGCCATCAGAATACTTCTGGCCAATGGATGTGTGTCACTTGCAGACTGAAGTAATTAAAAGCAAGTATGCCTTCTCAATCTCTTTTCATGTCCCATTAACCTGGAAGTCACATGATGTAGATGATATAGTCACAAGATGGAGGAAGGCCTTTGCATAGTGAAAAACAAACTTTTATTGTATTAAGTCACTCAGATTGTGGAGTTTGTTACTGTAGCATAGCCTACCAGCAAGATACATACAATTTCATGATAGTGGTTGCCTCTGGGGAAGTTAGTAGATAATAGAACTCAGAGAGGATGAAAAAGGGAATTCCATTAAACCTGTGGAGTCTTCATTCTTTTAAAAATATCTGAAGTAAATATGCAAAATGTCAAGATTTATGGATGTTGTGTTACTGAGCATTTTATATTTTCTGCATTTTAAATATTTCTACATATTTGAACTATTTTATTATTTAAAAAGTCATCAATAATTTAAAAAGAATACATGAGTAGATATATAGATGGTAGATATATGAAAATGATAGGCAGATGGACAGATAAATTGATGGTGATATAAGCATAGACTAGATCCTAGTACTTCATTTAGCCTTTACTAGTCCTAAGCACTAGGGACTATTATAAACCTCATATCATCATCATCCACAAGTATACACATGTTATAATTTATAAGCTACTTTCTAAATCCATTATTTCATTAGATATAGATAGCCATCCAATAAAATATGAAAAATAATGATTGTCCTAACATATTTTTTTTCAGATGAGGGTCAACAAATTTCAATGATTTGCAGAGGGTTACACATATAATACATTGGAAAACCAGGATTCAAATCTGATTCTCTTGCCAATCTACCCTATAGGAAGAAGTATGAGGGGGGTAGTAGAAGTCTTTACTACCCTGTCTTACTGCCACCCAATGGGTTGGGGAAAGAAAAAGAGAAGAGAACTGGATACAAACATTGAACCTCAGAGGTGGGGGTCTGCTTCGTGCATGGGATGCACTCTCGGTCCTGCAGGCCTCCAATGCGTGTCTTTTGGTAGAACCTGTGGTCAGAGCAAGAAAGAGTTTCAAGGTGATCAAACAATCAATGCCCTTGGATTTGTCCTTCCTGAGACCATAGGCAGCTTTTAAGAGTCTTGTGATCCTGAAAGCCAGCACCCACCATCACCCCTCATGAATTATCTGTCTCTATGTCTTATTCAGACTCAGAGTCCCAGATACTCCACTTTTCCCTCCAATTCACCACACCCTATAGCCAAAAAGGGAATTAATATCACAAGAGAGGAGAGCACTGCTTTCACACCAACTGCTTCCTAATTTCTTTTATGTCTACAGTGAGATTTACCTTGAATGTTGGGCCTGAGCTAAACATACCAGAATGATAATAAAGTTGTTAAATACTCATCTGTGGCTGACCATGTGATAGGCACTTTATAGTGGGATCTTGGCAAGACACTGTTTTGCATTAGTGGGTGCTTACACTCGTCATGAAATGGATAGTTAGACTACTTTATCTAGGCTCTGAGAGACCTCCAAGGGCTGGAGAAGGCCCAGAACAACTTCACTTCATAGAGCAGGCTCACCTTGGAAGACAGTCCCCACAGACAGCATTAGAGGTAGCTGTGCAATTGTCCTTTTGGACACGATTGATGACAGCACAGGTGATGCAAATATGACATCTATGATGGCCCCAGCTACTTTTGTATCTGCGTGGAGGGCAGGCTGTGCAGTATGCATCTCCACCCTCTCCATAACCACAATCCTGCAGAGAAATGGGAGTCACTAACATTGCTGTACAGGAACTTGGATAGAGGATCAGCTATGGGACAAGTGGGTATTGTACAGAGTTTACAAACTGCAAGTTGCAACCCATTACCAAGTCATGAAATCAGTTTACTAGGTTACAAACAGCACTAAAAATTTGAAATAAGGCAAAATAAAATAATGATATAAAGTACCACAGTGCATAGCATACACTAAAACTAGGTACTTATATCAGTCATCATAGGCTATGTCATGCTATGGCAAAAAGCAAACTCTAAATTTCAGTGTCTTAAAAAAAAACACACCACAAAAGTTTATTTTTCACTCACACTATTTGCCTACCAGAAGTTTCCTGGGGGCTCTGCTTTACATTATTCTCATTGGGTCACCTGGGTGACAGAGGTTTCATCTTTGTGCTGCCATGATTGGAGCATCAGGGAAAAGAGAACATGGTTCTTCCCATGTCATGTTGCTCACATATCCTTGACCACACATATCACCTGATTATTAGTAACTATGAAACTAAAATAGACTGAAATTCTACAATATTCTAGAAAGCAAGGAGCTGGAGAGATTTGACGAATAGCTGTATTCACTATCTACCTCAGTATTGCTTTGTAAAATTTTACAGATAAAATCTATATAAGTATGTGTTGGCTTGTGATGAAAAATTTATTTATTACTCTTGGCAATGGTAAAAAATGTCTGAATGCCAATGGTATAGAGGAGAGATGAGTAATCCAGCTGGCTCTTGGCTGAGGTCTGGTATTGACTCAGTGTGACTCTGGCTGACCCTTCTCAATTTTGGGGAGTCATAGGAAATTCAAATAGATGGTCTATGAATGTTCTAGCTATGACATTTTAACCTAGGAACAAGGTTCCAGCCTGATATGCCATATCTCTTTCTCAAAGACACAATTCTAATTATCAATGCATATGAACTATTTGGTAGTTCTGGCAGAAACTGGCTTGTTCACCACTGCAGTTAGATGAGCCATGTGCCTAGTTTTTAGCCAATGGATTAAAATGATGTGTGTCTCTCCCAGGCCTGCTCCCCAAATGCTTGATACTTAATATATCTTTCATTTTCTTTATACTTTGATTTTCTGGTACATAGGGATACACAGGGAGATGGTGAAATCGATATATTAAAAATGACAGGATGCCAAGACAATGGAAGAGGCAGCAGCTCCAAGCTTTCATTCCTTCACAGAAACATAGAAAAGCAAGCAGAAACTGTCAGAATCAATGTTGTCATAACTCTTGGAAACAATCAAAGGTTTATATAATGAAACAAATGCTGAATCAAGAAAAAGGCAACTTATAAATGATAGGAATTTTTTTTGTGCCATTTTTACTTTCCCTTACCACAGCCCTCTCCACAGAGTATTACCAGTCCTAAGGTGGAGGCGGTCTTTACGTGGCATCAGCCTATGTTCCTAGTGTGAGATATTTATTCCTAGTTTCCAAGTGAGTTCAGCAAAGCTTATTCACAAAGTATTGTGTATGTCTGCTCCAATGTGTCTGGGGGCCACCTGAAGGACTGAGACATGGCGATCACCTCTATTTCACTCAATTCAGAATGCAGACTGACAAAGGGGTGGGCATTTGTTTTAAAAAAGTCACAAAGCAAACTAACAAACCACAGATGCCTGGGGTAACAAATAATGAGTGAACACACACAATAGACTGCCTAATCATAGGAGCTAAAACTAGGGAAGATTCTTTAGGAAATTAAGAAAGTACCCATATATATGGGGTGATTTAGAAAGGCACATGCATGCCTAGGGCAAGACACATGCGTAGAAAAGACCAGAGAAGACCCAAAGTTTACACACTGTTAAGGGCTTCTGGCAAAACACTCGAGCATCTTTAATTATGTCGGCTGAAACTCAGAGCACAGGCAGAGCCATGCCCTGGGGGCGGACCTAATCAGGAGATTGGAACACCACTCAGTTTGACCTTCCCGCCCAGTGTTAAGGGGGTGGATCTCATGATGTTGCCAGGAACTCAAGGCTCACCCAGATGTGATGTAACTTCCTGTTATTCGAGTATAAATAAATCTGCTTGCGGTGCTGATGCTCTCTGTGTCTGTCCCTCCATCAGAGGGCAGACGCCACACCCAGGCCCAGCTTTCACTCTATTTCTGTCTCAGTCTTATGTTTTTTCATTTTTCCTTAAACCTCGTCGCGTTCTATTCAAGATTTCATGAACCCCCGTGTTCTCTCTTTCTGCGCTGGTCTCGGGAAGAGAGAAACCCCCTCCAGTAACACACTGGACTAATCCATAGAGTAAGTGCAAGTTTGGCTAAGTGTTGAAGGAGTGCTTCAGCACAGAGCCAATCTCCAAAAACTGGGAATTGTGTGTGTGTGTTTATGTTGTTGATGTTGTTTAATTTTTTAACTCTTGACACTCATGAAATCTATGTCAAAATATTAGCTGAACATAATCTAAAGGAACAGAGACTTCAGTGACTACATATGGCAGTCTGCAAAAATAGTTTGAAAAACACCTCAACAATAGACTACTATATTAACAAATAAGTTTTTTAAAAGAGTATTGTGCTAAGGAAAATAAGCCAGTAACAGAAAGACAAATAACATATGATTTCACTTATATGTGGAATCTAATGAATAAACAAACAGACAAAATAAAAAAAGACTTATAGATAAAAAGAACAGACTGACAGCTTACAGAGGGGGGGAGTTGGGTATTGGGTAAAAAAGGTGAAGAGATTAAGCAAAAAAAAACATATTCATAGACACAGACAACAGTATGATGATTACCGAAGGAAAGGGCGGTGGGGAGAGATAATAACAAAATAGCAGAAATTGGTTTTAACATATCAATAATTACCTTAAATATAAATGGTTTATGTACACCAATTAAAAGTAGAGATTTGCATATTGGGTAAAAATAAATAGTCACAGATTGTCTTCAATAATAATTACTTAAATGAATAGATGAATCATTTCTTAAAAATAAAAAGAAACAAATTACCATAAAATATTATATTGAGAATCCTCTTTCCTAATTAGGAGGTAAAGTAAATTCTTCCAAATAATCAAAGCCCCCAAAATTCTTTAGCTAGTAACTGGTTTTATAACCAGAAAAACATTGATCTTTTTAAATTAATTTTACCAAGCTAGCACAATTATGATACACATTTTGATGTTTGTAGTGTTATAAGAGCATTTATTTATTATAAGTAAAATATTAATTTATAAAATATAATAGGGTATTTAAACCAAAATTACAATCAATAATGTTTTTCCTGGGAATGTAAGATATTTTAATTTTTGTAATATGATAATGTATGTCATCAAATTAATATGTCAAATGGAAAATATATGAAATAGTCAAAAGATGATAAAATGAAACAAAATTCAAAACAAATCTGATTTTTAAATTTTTATACTTTATATAAATTATTTTTAAAATGCTCTTTATTGTGCTACATGCTTGTCTACTCAGCTGCCTTATATGAGTCAAGAATGAACTATAAAAAATGAGTAAAACAGAAAAGCAATCAATAAGAAACAATTCATAAAATTGGAAGTGCAAATAGACAAATAAATACAACAATGTTTGGATTTTTCTCTAGCATAGAATGAAAAAAATTCATAAAGTTCTTATAAATTAGTAATTTAATGTTACAAAGGGAGGCATAAAATTAATAGATGACAAAAACATGCATTATTCATGTGTGATTAAGCATCTGAAATTTAAGAATTCCATGCATTGTTGAAAATAAATGTCATTTCAATGAAAATTAGTAAAAAATAAGAAGTGTTGGCCCTGGCTGAGTAGCTTAGTTGGTTAGAGTGTCATCCCTGTGGGTTCAATCCCTGGTCAGGCCACATAAAATCATCAGTGTATGAATGCATAAACAAGTGGAACAACAAATCTTTCTCTTTTTCTCCCTCTCTCTCTAAAATAAAAAAATAAAAAATGTTATTTGCTAATATATTTCAAAAATCTTAAAGCTGTATGCATTACATAGCTCAATAATTATACTTCTATAAATATGTCCTGAGAAAATAATTTTGATTTTTCTGCAAATAGTTATTTGCATTGATGTTTACAATTCATATGAATGCACTTTAAAACAAAATAAAAGTAACTATAAAAACAAAGGTGTGTCAGATTCCGTTAGCTGCTTATTCAAAATTCACTATTCATTTTTTCCTCCCTTACTAACAGAACATTGATTTCATTCTGGGTGACAAGGTGACCAGCCAAAAAATTGGTTCTTCATTGGTCTTAGTCAATCATGGAAATCCCATTTCTATTTGTCAGGTACTCATTTACTAGCTTCCATTGCAGTATAAAGATACTTAAAGCATGCAGTTCTGATCCATAAGATATAAGTGGAAATCTCTGGGAGTTCTAGGAAAATCCTTCTTCTCTAATAAAAGTCAAGCTACTTTTCCCCTGAACTTTCTTCCTGACTTTGACTATAGTGTGAATATGTGATGTTTTGGGTTGTGGCAACCAAGAGGCCACAAGCATGAGGACAAAACAGCAAGGTGCCCATGATGAAGGATAAAAAGAACCTTCACAAAGTTGTTGATCTGCCCAACTAACCACAAAGCTCTCTGCCTCCAAACTTCATTAAATAAATAAATGTGCTATGGTTCAAGCTGTTAAGTTTTATGTTACTTTTAACTTAGTACATCCAAATTGAGTCAGTGATGAACTAATTTGCCCAAAGGAAAGCTGGGACTCAAATCCAGGTGTATCTGGTTTATTTTTACTGAACCATTCTGACTTTGAGAAAGTCACTTATCCTCGTCTTTGAATCTTAGTTTCCTCATCTAAAACCTATGAGGTTGATAATGCCATCTTGGTGAGTCTGAGAGCCAAATGAAATGATGCACATGAGAGATCATTACAAGGTATAGACTGCCAAATAAGTATAAGCTATCTACACTAATAAAAGACAAAGATGCTAATTGACCATACCTTTGTTATGCCCCAAGCCACATCCACCAGCCAATCAGAGCAACTATATGCAAATTAACCCAATCAAGATGGGCAGCCATGGAGCTGGAGCAAGCAGGAGGCTTGGTTGCCCGGGTGATGGAGGAAGCCAAGCTTCCCGCCTGCCCTGAGCTGGCTGTGGCCTCTGCTCATGGCAACAAAGTTTCAATTATAGAAGACAAATAAATCCCAGATACCTTCTTCCAGCCAGCCTCCACTGGGAGTTTTGGTGGCTGGGGGTCGTGGCCAGGCTGCAAACAGCCATCAGCCCCTCACCCAGGCTGGCCAGGCACCCCAGTGGGGACCCCCACCCTGATCCGGGACACCCTTCAGGGCAAACCAGCCGGCCCTCACCCATGCACCAGGCCTCTATCCTATATAATAAAAGGGTAATATGCAAACTGACCCTAACAGCAGAATGACTGGGAATGACTGGTCACTATGACACACACTGACCACCAGG